AATGGTCCTCACACTTACGTCCATTCCAGCATCCAAACAGTTGTATGATCAAAATTAAGGGGGAGAGGAGTTGACAACCAGCATGCATTTACAGTTGCAGCATCCCGGGATCATGTGATCACAATTTGCGACCAGATTCTGACAAGCAAATTCACTGTCTGGAGTGGGAGATTTGCTTAATGGCCGTGCAATTCACTTAACAACGTCAGTTGCAATTGCAATCCTTGCCACGTTTGTCCAGGGTTTATTAAATCAAGGGCTATCTGGTGCCACAAACCAGCAGTTTACTAGAAACACTAATCAGGGAATACAGGTCATAAAATGTGGCGTGACTTACTTAATAACCCCATTGCTTAGCAGTGGAAATTCTGGTCCCAGTTGGGGTTGTATGTCAAGGACTATCTGCAGCTGTTCCCATCACGGCAACCAATTTTGAAGATACTTCTAGTGCAAACCTGCATTTTGACTCCTCTCTTCCAAATACCCAGGGGGCAGGAGGGGGGGGGGCATCAGGGGTGTGAAAGCTCAGTGGTTAAAGATGCTGAGTTTGTCAGCTGAAAAGTTGATAGTCTGGGTTCGAGACAAGAGCACTGTACAGCAGGGCAAGCTCCCATTCTCACTCCAGCTCCTGCCCACCTAGCAGTTCGAAAGCAGGCAAATGCGAATAGGTTAATAGGTACCACTTCGGTGGGAAGGTAACAGCATTCTATGCACTTTTGGTGTATAGCCATGCTGGCTACATGATCACAGAAACTGTCTTTGGACAATGCTGGCTCCCTCAGCTAAGAAACAGATGTGTGGGACACAACTGGACAGGGGAAACCTTTCTAGGTAGTCCTCGAGTTATGACTATGATTGAGCCCAAAACAGGTGTTGCTAAGTGAGAAAATTGTTATGTGTGTTTTGCCCCATTTTATGATTTTTCTTGCCATGTTTGTTAAGCGAATCACTGCAGTTGTTAAATTAGTAACACCGTTGTTAAGTGAATCTGGCTTCCCCATTGACTTTGCTTGCCAGAAAAGGGGATCCCATGAACCCAGGACACCGCAACCGTCATAAATATGAACCAGTTGTCAAGCATTCAAATGTAATTCATAAGACCTTGGGGATTCTGCAACGGTCTTAGGAGTGAAAAATGGTCATAAGTCACTTTTTCTAGGGCTNGAACTACTCAAAATTTCCGCTACCAGTTCTCCGAACTACGCAAAATTTCCACTACCGGTTCTCCGAACTACTCAAAATTTCCGCTACCAGTTCTCTGAACTACTCAAAATTTCCGCTACCGGTTCTCCGAACTACTCAAAATTTCTGCTACCAGTTCTCCGCACTACTCAAAATTTCCGCTACCGGTTCTCCAGAGCCTGTCTGAACCTGCTGGATTTCACCCCTGCACTGAAGAATGTCTAAGTGTCCAGTGCAGTGTTTCTCAAGCATGGAATCTTGAAGACTTGAGGTCACCATGCGGGATGCCACAACAGTTGTAAATGTGAAAAATGATCATATGTCCAAGGCTGTTGTAACTTCGAACAGTCACTAAAGAAATAGTTGTACGTGGAGGAATGCCTGTAGAGCAATCTGTATTACACTAGAAGTCTGAGGCATGTACAACTCACTTGGGACATCACCACCACCCACTCCGAGAGCTGAGAGTGCAACTCACAGAAACCTCCCTTTGATGGAAAGTTTGAGCACTTGAAAGGAATCCAGAGGTGAAAGACTGACTGATCACTTCCCTGAAGTGTCAGTTCTGTACATTAGGGAACAGCTCATGTGCTGGGGGTTGGGGGTGGATAGGAACCACAGCACCCCATCTTGAGTCAGCATCCATAAACGTCGAGATTCAATCGCATGGATGGTCTGATGAGGCCTGGCACAGGGGAGCAGCTGAGGAAAGCAGTGTGAATCTTTCCACTTTCAACAGCTCGGTCTCTTTCGACTTAAAACGTTTTACAGAAAATCCCGATTCTCCCGTATTCCCCCCCCCCCTTTTCCTTTTCACGCTGTCAAAGTCATTTCACTAAATTCACTGGAAGTAGGAGCGAGCTACTGCAGGACGGCAGAAAGTGTTTTGGTTTCCGCTGACGAGAGCGACAAGTTGCTTCATTGCTTGTGTGGTAGCGAACAAAACTGATAGCAAACTGCTCGGATGACTCATGGCGGGAAGAATTCTCCCTCTTTCTCTCCATCTGTGTGTGTGTGAGAAAGAGAGGGAGGAAGGGAGGAAAGGATGGGGAAAAGAGGGGAAGGGGAGGGAAGTAATGGGAGGGGGAGGGGGAAGAGAAAGGAGGGAGGGGAGGGGAGAAAAGGATATGAGAAGAGAAGGGGAGAAAGGAAGAGGGAGGGAGGAAGGGAAGGGAAGGAGGAAAGGAAAGAGAGGTGGTAGAAAGGATTGGGGAAGAGAAGGGGAGGGAGGAAGTGAGGGAGGNACTTATTGTTCCTATGTTGTTTTTAAGTTATGTGTTTGCTTTTGTTGATGTGCTTATGTGTTTAAAATAAAATAAAAATTACTAGTAGGAAATGAAAGAGGGGGTTCAGCAGGGAGACGCGCAAATAATTATCGCTAAAATAACCGTATCCCCCCCACCCACTCTCTCTAAATGAGTCAACTCCCCAAAGAAGGGGGGAAGAAAAACCCCAGATTTTTTTTTCCTGCGGAAAATTAACTGGTGCAGTGAATGCATTTTCCTCTTGGAAAAGTTTTCTTTCCAAGTCTTTTATCAACTTTCTCCCCTCGACAGGCAAGGCTGGAAACTCCCAAGCCGAGCCAGATGTTTCTCTTCTGGGCTAAAGAGACTTAACTAGGACTTCCAGTGTTTGTGGCTTTGTCCGTCTCGAGGAAAGAAACATCTGGCCGGGACGGAGACAGATGTCGCAAGGTTTCAGAAAGATTCTTGGCCTTGGACATTTCCAGAGAAGGAGGGAAGGAAGCTACTTTTGCATCTCTGTGGTTTTCATCATTGTCTTGCCACACTTTTCTTTAAAAACTATGTTTTTTTCCCCTTTCTTTCTGGCGCACACCGAATGCGTTGCCTGGCTGTCGTTCACCCCAAATCTGCCTCGAATTCCTACAACATCTGGCTGGCTTCCCTGGGTCGCTTCCCCAGATATCAGCCAGATGTTCAACGGGGCAACAGTGCGGAGATGAAGTCTTAAACCCAGACAAACCTCTGTTTTTTTTGGCAGCCTTTCAAGTGAGCTGGAACTGTCTCTCTGCGGCCACAAGGAAGGAGGACAAATGGGGGGCTGCCCCCCTCCCATGAAGAAGCAGACCCCTCCCAATATTAGTGGTGCCACTGTAAATGCCCGGGGAAGCCTTAAATCCAATGCCATGGATTGGGGTTTGCTGATACCAACAGGGAGGGATGGAGGAATGAAGGAAGGAGAATAAATAGAAAGAGAAGGAAGCAAATAAGGAAGTAGGGAGGGAGNTTTTAGTTTAGTTTATTTAGTTTATTTTACTTTATTGTCATTGCACATCGTACGACAAAATTAAAGGCCATCTTCCGTGCACATTATAACTATAAAAATAAAAAACACACACCTCCTTCACATGCTGTACAACTGAATTGAAAACCCCCTGATATTGCATTAATATTGCACTATACCGTAGAATTCAATAGAGTTATTGCCCTGGGATAGAAGCTGTTTTTCCAGATCTACTTGTCCTTGTTTTTATTGCCCTGTACCGTCTGACGGATGGCAATAGTTGAAAAGAAAAAAAGGATGCCCAGGATGAGATGGATCTTTAAGAATGTTTTGAACTTTCTTAAGGCAGCGGGAATAGAGAATAGAATAGAATAAGAATAAAATAAGAGTAGAATAGAATATAGAATAGAATAGAATAAGAGTAGAAGAGAATATAGAAGAGAATATAGAATAGAATAGAATATAAAATAGAATAAAAAAATAGAATAAAAGAATAGAATAGAATTATGAAAGAAGAGGAGATGGAAGAGAATAGGAATAGAATATAGAAGAGAATATAGAATAGAAGAGAATATAGAATAGAACAGAAGAATAGAATAGAAAAATAGAATAAAAGAATAGAATTATGAAAGAAGAAATGGAAGAGAATAGGAATAGAATATAGAAGAGAATATAGAATAGAATGGAATATAGAGTGGAAGAATAGAATAGAAAAATAGAATAAAAGAATAGAATAGAATTACGAAAGGAGAAGAGATGGAAGAGAATAGGAGTAGAATATAGAAGGGAATATAGAATATAGAATAGAAGAATAGAATAGAAAAATAGAATAAAAAAATAGAATAGAATTGTGAAAGAAGAGATGGAAAAGAATAGGAATAGAACATAGAAGAGAATATAGAATATAGAAGAGAATATAGAATATAGAAGAGAATATAGAATAGAACAGAAGAATAGAATAGAAAAATAGAATAAAAGAATAGAATAGAATTATGAAAGAAGAGATGGAAGAGAATAGGAGTAGAATATAGAAGAGAATATAGAATAGAAGAGAATATAGAATAGAACAGGAGAATAGAATAGAAAAATAGAATTATGAAAGGAGAAGAGATGGAAGAGAATAGGAATAGAATACAGTATAGAATATAGAAGAATATAGAATATAGAATATAGAAAAGAAGACTAGAATAGAAAAATAGAATAAAAGAATAGAATAGAATTATGAAAGAAGAGAAGAGATGGAAGAGAATAGGAATAGAATTCAGAGGAGAAGAGAGGATCTCAAGGTGAGTGAAGAGGAGAGAGGAAGATAGGATAGGGAGAAGAGAAGAGAGGGGAGGATGAGATAAACTTTATTGTCCCTTTCTGTAAACACACCAGCATGCCTTTTTAAAAAACTGCATTTAAAAAGAAAAAGGCATGCCCACTACCCGCTCGCAAAAGAAAATATAATCGTGGTCTTAAGTCGAGAACTCAATGTTTAGAGTCTGTGGTTTGTTTGTTTGTTTTAAATTTGCAAGGAAATCCAAACTAGGATTTAGGGGCTGACTTGATTTCCCTTGTAATTCCTTTTTTTTTGGCGTCCTCTCTCGCAGGAAGGGATCGGCTTGGATGCCGTCAACGACGGCTTGCTGATAGAATCCAGCGTTTACCAGCTGCTGAAGCGGTACTGCCGAGACCAGCCGTACTACCTGAATTTAATCGAGCTTTTCCTCCAGGTGGGCACGACAATAAAGTAGGCCTCTTCCTCGTTGAGGGCCAGCCCCCTCTGCCTTTAAATAAATAAATAGTTGACTAAGGAAGCCAGAAAGGGATGGAAAGAGGGTCGTTTCTGGCCTTTTTTCTTCCTTTCTTTTCGTCTTTTCATCGGATTTTCCTCTCTCCTGTGTTTTCACAGTCATCCTACCAGACCGAGCTGGGCCAAACCTTGGACCTCTTCCAGATCAACCTAGA